CGACCGTTTCGTCCAACGGGTCGTTCTTGAAAGTTAAACTCCTCTTTTGCCCGTTTCTGCGGCCCCAATCTCCCTCGAGAGCGTCTACACAGTTTACTGGTACAATTTGTGTACAGCGGATGGAGGTGGAATAATTTCTTGCGGTTGGAAAATATTCTACTCTTCGATAACGATAAAAAGTTGCTCTTGCGGTTTCTCGATATGTCGACCAGTTCGAGAGATATCGAGTGCCAATATGGCGCCTGTCGCGTTCGAAAACATCACCTCAGGATTTCAAGTAAATTTCACTACCATGTTACGAAAAAATTGATGAAAACAAGGGTATCATAATTGTGTGTGTCTGTGAACCTTTCGGGAAAAAATTAAACAATACCGATTATTTAAAAAATAATTACTTTTCTGGGGTTTTGAGACTACCGTGAAGTAGTTGGTCGCACGTTCGATGGTTCTTCGAGCAATTTTATAAAATATTTTCAGTCTTTATTATTTTAATAATATTTCAAACGCTTAGTAAGTTAACTATTGCACAGTTCGAATGAATTTGTCCCCATTTTCGTTGAGATTCCCTTACTTTCTCGTTTCGTTCTTCCATTTTCGCGACCTGTTCGTGTGCAAACGATTATAGAACCGTATGTATTCAAATTACCCGGTTCGAAACTTACACCGGAGGATGTAGCTGGAGGCAATTCCGTTTGCTGGCTGTTACAAGAGGAAAAGATTGCTCTTATCACTTTTCTGATACACTTCGCGCCGATGGTCTCGCGGAACAACTCGCATCCTAACGACTGGTTGAAACAGATGCGTCGTAACGATAACTATAACACGTTCAGACACGACAGTTGCGAAACAAGCATATTTACGCGACCGCCAATTAACGTAAGTGGTACAACACGAATAACTTTTATAAGTACGTTTGTCGCGTGCGGCGTGTTTGAATGTGCACAGTCATTAGCCTATCCTTTAATCTGTCTGGGCCATAAAACCGCCCTTAATGTTACCACAGGTTTCTTCTAATCGGCCATTTCGTTCGTCGGCACTCACCGTGTCGCAAACGAATTACTATTGTGGAATATTTACGAGTGAATCAATTTTTTCGAAATTAAATTCACAAATTTAATTAATATTAAATATTGAATTATAATAAAAAAAATTCAAAAGAATTTAGAAGATGTTGATTAGGAAAATATTTATAAATATATCGTTGTGATTCAGGGGAAATTTCGCAGTTCCTAATGAAGATGATCCAGCAAGATTTATAACAATTTTTTTAATTAATTTACAGTGTAGTATTATAATAATACAAAATTTTAAATATATTGATTAAAAAAATTTTTATAAATATCGTTGTGATTTAAGAAAAATTTCGTAGTTTCTAATGAGAATATCCTTGGAAGATTTATAACATTTTTTGAAATTAATTTACAGTGTAAAATTATAATAAAAAAAAATTCAAAAGAATTCAGAAGATGCTGACTAGGAAAATATTGATAAATATCGTTGAAGATTCAGGAGAAATTTTGCAGTTCCTAATAAAGGTGATCCAGCAAGATTTGTAACATTTTTTTAAATTAATTTACAGTGTAAAATTATAATAAAAAAAATTTAAAAGAATTCAAAGGATATAGACTATAAAAATTATAAATATCGTTGGGATTCAGGGAAAATTTCGTAGTTCCTAATGAGGATAGCTCTGCAGGATTTTTAACATTTTTTAAAATTAATTTACAGAGTGTAATTATAATAAATAAACAAATTGGAAAGAATTTATGAAAAAATTTATAAATACCATTGTGATTCAGGGAAAATTTCGTAGATTCTAATGAGGATATCCCTGAAAAATTATCAACATTTTTAAAAATTAATTTACAGTGTGGAATTATAATAAAAAAAATTGAAAAGAGTGTATGAGATGTTGATTATGAAAAAATTTATAAATACCATGGTGATTCAGGGAAAATTTCGTAGATTCTAATGAGGATATCCCTGAAAAATTGTCAACATGTTTAAAAATTAATTAACAGTGTGGAATCATAATAAAAAAAAATTAAAAAGGATTTATGGAGATATTGACTATGAAAAAATTCATAAATACCATTGTGATTCAGGATAAATTCCGCAGTTCTCAACGAGGATATTCCAGCAAGATTTGTAACATTTCTTGGAAGTAATTTATAGTATAAAATTATAAAAAAAAAAATCAAAAAAATTAGGAATATATTGACTAGGAAAATATCGTTGAGACTCAGGATAAAATTTCGTAGTTTCTAATGAGGATATTCCTGAAAGATTTATAACATATTTAAAAATTAAATTACAGTGTAGAATCATAATAAAAAAATAATTGAGAAGAATTTATGAGATACTGACTATGAAAATATGTATAAATACCACTGTGATTCAGGGAAAATTTTGCAGTTCCCAATGAGAATAATCCATCAAAATTTTCAACATTTTTAAAAATAAAATTTACAATATAGAATAATAATAAAAAAAATTCAGAAGACGTTGACAACGAAAATGTTCATAACTATAGTTATGATTCAACGAAGACTCGCAGATGATCTCTAAGATGATCCTGAAAGATTTTTAACATTTTAAAAAAATTTTATACAATGTAGAATTGTAATAAAAAAAATTTTTTTGAGATCTGGGTTATCTGATTTTGTCGTCTTGACTCGAAGAAATGTGAGAATCGAGGGTTTGTGGCGGTCTGTGCAGTCTTGTATCTTGGAAACAGACGCGTCACGATTAACGGAGAACCTAATTTCTCAGGCGTGGAGATATTTGTGGCCCTTTGGAGCGGAATATGCCGTAGCAACGACCAGTCTAGGGGTTATCAGAGCGAACAGCGATCGCGAGTCAATGCCAAGGGTTCATCGGCACAAACTCATCGGATGGAAAAAAGGATCGCGTCTGACGCGTTCGCACGGCTAAAAGATCCAAAAGGGACGACGCTGCACGCTGAAACGCGTCCACGCGCCGCCATCGGCCAGACAGAGACGAACATCTAAAATAAAAATATACCAGCAAAGAATAAACCTTTTAACAAACTTAAATCAATAGACGAAATGTTAAAAAAAATTAATTAAATAGGAAAAGTTTCTTTGAATACACTTTTCACAGTTATGCTCCTCTGAAGGGGAATCCCAAGAGATGGTCGGAAACGTCACATCGTAATAAAACGTTTTTAACGAAGAAAGATCACCCCGTGGCCCGTGGCCATTAATTAACGTAAATATCATTGTTCTCGAGCACGGTGACTATAACAATCTTTTCTACATCGATTGAGACGAAAGGTGTTGCTCCATTAATCTTCATCTTTCAACCGTTTCTTTTTCCAAACGAACTTTCATTCCCTTTGTGCTCGATCGTTCGACTGTATTCGATTCACTGCTAAAGAGTAAATAATAACGGTGAATAATTATAGAAAAAAAATTAATTATACCTAATGGATCGGTGACTCGTGTTTAACACGGTCCAAATTGTCGGCGTACATTACTGCATGCAATTCTAATCAAGGTTTCAGCAATCTGCTGGAAATTATGGATCCAATGGGTATAATTATTGGTCCCGATGGAGCCTCTATTTCCATGACGGGGGGGAGGTCAAACAACAGTACCTGTGCAGGTACACTTTTCCGGGGAAGAGCATTATAACTGTAATTTTTGGAACGCAAGAAATTGGGGAATTTTGAGTATGGGAAAGGTTCCAGGTATTCCCCTGAAACCTTTGTTTAAATATCGAGGAACCCCCAAAGGGACCAAAGGTTTACAATGGAGAGTTTTAAAATCCGGTGGTCACCGGTGACCGTCAACGGTTTTCCCCTCGAATTTCCATGGATCGTCGGTTGTGCCCCGTGGTTTCATTTGTTTATATTATTTAGAACGCATATATTTGTGCATTGGATGTAAATTAGTTGTCGAAGCTGTAGAACTCGTGAAATAATTTTATTGTAATGTAGAACTCCGGGAAAAACGAGCGGTCACCCATCCCCGTCCGGTGCTTGGACGCCATGCAGCTGCACTTTTTTAGATCGACTGACCATTCGTTCTACCAGCGTCACTACCATCACGACACTATTATTCCAGTGTTAATAATTCCTTTTCTGTGACAAACTAACTACTATGGACAACTGTTAATACATTTAACAATTCTAAAATATAAACAAATGAAACAACGGGTGTCCAGGTAATCCCCTGAAAGCCTCATTTAAGTATCGAGGAACCCCCAAAAGGGACCAAATTTGATACAATGAGTAATTAAATCGACGGTCACCGGTGACCGTCAGCGACAGTAAACAGGAGTTTTTTCCTGGAGTCCCCAATCGATCGTCGCATCCGTGGCGGTTGCTTTTTAATTACGGCCAGACACTTTAATCCGTCACGCTCCATCGAATGTCTTTTTTATTATATTCCTGAATCTCTGGATCGAGGCGCGAGAAAATGGAAGCAAACGAACGACGGGGACAGGTCGATCGAGTGGACGGTCTATCGAGCACGAGCGAAATAACGATACGCTGGCGAATCACGGGGTGGCGTCGAGCCTTTTTTTCCTCGAACCGCGGTTATATCGGCGCGCTTTAATCATTTAAACGGGACACCGTGTGGTCGATAGCTTTATATTCTTTCCTGGTATCCCCACGGTTATGTCACTGATTAGGGTTTACAGTCACCGGGTTGCACACGTAGCTTCCCCTTCGCGCTAAGGGTGAAACAATAGTGGGGGAAGGTCCATGACCCTGCACCCGGTGCAACTTCCGTTCTGCATCGTCGTTCGACCACGCACCGACGGGTGAAACGAATTTTTTGATCGCGAAGGAACTCTAAACAAGCTCTTCATTATCGTAGGAAAGGCGACCTCGTGTTGATGGAGGCGAGCTATTTCCATCGAAAGAGTCCTTTGTTATTGCATTTGGAGCCACGCAGTTCGAGGAATCGAGGCTGTCGACCGCGCCTCGCGACAAGTACAATAGGTAAATAAGAGGAGACGATGATACTCACCGAGCTGGACGTACATCTTCGGCCTGATGTTCTCCTGCCAGGCAGCTAGGGCCAGGGTGACCGTGGCGACGACGCACCAGCAGGACAACACAGGATGCATCCTCGTTCCCAAGATGGTACGCCTCATCTTTTCTGGGTTGGTTCGAGCGTCGCCGGAAACGTGCCAGGATTCCTCCTCCGCGGCGCGATTAAAGAAACTCACGTATATATATATATATATGTATAACGCACCAACCACCGGGGCACTCTATTATTACTCCCTGTCGCGACGCACAGCCTCCGATACCGATAACAATGGAAGGAGAAAGGACGTGGTGTTTCTATCACTCGATTTTCCCTCCCTTTCTCTCTCCACTTTCACTGCAGCAGAACGTGCGAGGGTGCCGCAGTCACGTGCCACGTGTTCCTCGTCGTCGCAGCCGTTGTCCTCCAGCTCTGCTCACGCATGTTTCCTTCGGGACCGGCTTCCTGGCCGCGCACATTCACGAATATCGCACGATAACCCGACGGGGGGAGGGGGGGGACAAGACACGAGAAGGGGGGGCGGGGAGAACCACCGTGAGGGGGGGAAGAGAGACGTAGAGAGGCGGAACCGAAGTGTGTCCCTCGACGAAGTCACTAGACGACGCTGTAAACACGCGAGAGAAAAAAGCGATCCGCAACCGCCGACGGTCGCCACCGAACTGACGCCGTGCAGCGCCGCGACAGGTGACACGCGCCCCCCACCACGCCGTTCGCCCCACCAGACGGCGGTCGACGGTCACGCGCAGCCGCTGACGCACCGTGTCTCCTCTCTCTCTCTGTGGCGCGCGGTGTGCGTGTCCTACGCGCCGCCACCCACGCACACTCGTCCCTCACGCACGTGGGTAAGAGTAAGAAGCGAGAGGGTGGGGGCAGTGGACGCGGGGAACAGGGGGAACGGGGAATCGAAGGGAGAGGTACACACAGGAGACACCGGGCAAGCGCCGATTTTCAACCCCACCACCCCCGCGACACGATCACGCCGCCGTCGTACCCGACGTCCTCGACGCTGGTATCTCGTCCACGCTACTGCAGCGCCGCCAATCTGCAACGAGAAAAAAAAACACCTCGTTATTTATTCCCAGTATTCGACGGTCTCGTTTTTTTGCCACGGCCGATAAGCGCACGAGATGCATCGATTAAGGAGCACCCCCGCGACGAAAACTGTTTGTCTTTCAGCGTGGAATTTTAATTGATATGGAACGCGGAGACGGGACAAATTATTATCTCGTTCGAGCCACCGCGGCGATTCTTGCTCTTTTTCGGCGCATTGTTCGACGCTGGTTCTTGACCCGAATTTCCGCGGGGATATTTGCGCCAGCACGGATTTCACCACGCTTTATTTGCGCGAGGGCGCTGAGAGAGCGTAATAACCGTGTGGCTAACGATCATCTCGTTACGTTCGCGAGGCTCCCGCGGATATTCCACGGGAAAAGATGGGGCCCCTGCGACTAGCAACGCGAAAAAAAACACGCCATGTTTATTTAATAATACCCCATCGAGGCTCCCATCGATGTTTCCGATGGGGGGAGGGAAAAAAGGTTACCCGGGTGCAATCAAGCCGCGGGTTCAAATTATTCCCGTGCAAAATTACCGAATGACAACGAATATCGACGCGGTCGAAAAAAAAAAAAATCTAAAAATCTAAATTTAAAATGTTACAAATGTGTAAAAAAAAACTGGCAAATATGGCGATATTCGATCGAGTAATTCGAAAGTCGCGAATACACGCGATAACCGATTTAGGAGCGAGCGATACTCTCGAAAATCCGCGTCGATTTTTACCCACCGGCCCCGATAACGACGTTACCCGCGTGGCTGATCGTCGAAAATTTTCCGTACCCGGTTATCTGTATGCGGCAGCCGTCGCTACGTCGGCGACGTTGACGCTGTTCATTAATTTGCTGAATTAAAAGTAGCAGGGCGTACGTCGAACCCCCTAATTCCTACGGCCATGATTGGTCGTGTGCGCGACAGGGGGGGTTTGCATCGTGGCCAGGTTTCGATGCGTTTGTGCCAGAACAGCCCCTGTATAATACACGAAACCAGTGACCGGTTCGCTACGCGCGCCTTTAAACGCCGCTGGCTTGGAACGGTCAGCGATGCGCGAGGATAATGGACGATTCGACACGACCAATGAAATATTAATAAAAACATTGGGACCCTTTCCTTTGTTAAAAAGCCTACAGTACGGCTTGCAACGTTTCGAAATTATTTCTTATCTCGAATAACGATTTTTCACGTGGTCCTTTTGCTAAAAGAATTCGTTCAAAATCGTTGGAAATTGATAAAAAATAAATTGCAGAATTGGATTTTTCATGTGATTCTTTTGCTATAAGAATTTATTTAAAATCGTTGAAAGTTAATAAGAAAATAAATTGCAATATTAGAAAATACATTTTTTTTTTTATTAAAGTTTTTAGATAAATAATGATATTTTATAGGTCAAAGTTAATTTTAAAACGATTTTTCACGTGGTCCTTTTACTAAAAGAATTCGTTCAAAATCGTTGGAAATTGATGAAAAATAAATTGCAGTATTGGATTTTTCATGTGATTCTTTTGCTAAAAGAATTTATTCGAAATCGTTGGAAATTGATAAAAGATGAATTGCAGTATTGGAAAATGCATAATTTTTTTTTTAGTAAAATTTTTAGATAAACAACGATATTTTATGGGTTAAAGTTAATTTTAAAACCTTCAATTTTATAATCAAATTCATAGATATTATTTTATATAATAAATAATTAATATTAATGAAAAAAATGGACCTTTACTTTTGTTCAAAAGTCTATAAATACAGCATGCAACCTCGCAAAATTATTTCTTATCTCGAATAACGACTTCCACTTGGTCCATTTGCTAAAAAAAAACATCCAAAATTGTTGAAAAATTATAAAAAAATAAATTGCAGTATTAGAAAATGCATAATTTTTTTTATTAAAGTTTTTGGATAAACAATGATATATTATGGATCAATGTTAATTTTAAAACCTTCAATTTCATAATCAAAGAGGATTTATATTATCAAATTCATAGATATTATTTTACATAATAATTCCAAATAGCCTTTGAATGAATATAAATTGCAGTATTGGAAAATGCGTGTTTTTGTTTTATTAAAGTTCTTACATAAATAGTGATATATTATGGATCAAAGTTAATTTTAAATCCCTCAATTTTATGATCAATGAGGATTTCTATTATAAAATTCATGGATATTATTTCACAGAAAAATTCCAAATAACCTTTGAATGAATATGAACTTTAGGTTGAAGGCTCAGGTAAAAATAAAATTCTGAATCAATAAACAGAATTAAATCTAGCAGACTGCTCCAGTTTGCAATTGCAAAATTTAAATTAATACAGAGTATTTCAATTTTTTATTTATAAGGCAAGGAGGTCTTAAGTCAAAATGGAGGAAAATTGAGAAAAAATGTTGATCTTTGGGAATTTGTATTTCTGAATATATGCAAAATATACTATAAATTTCCAATAGATATATCAAATCTACATACTTTGAATAATACTTCTGAAAATTTTCAATTGCAAAATTGTAAATCTATACAGAGTATCTGAATTTTTCATTTGCATAGTGAGGAGGCTTGCTCAGATCAAAATGGTGGAAACCTCAGAAACAATGTTGATCTTTGGGAATTATTTCTGAATATATGCAAAGTATAATATAAATTTCCAATAGATACATCAAAACTACATACTTTGAATAATACTTCTGTAAATTTTCAAATGCAAAAATGTAAATCTATACAGAGTATCTCAATTTTTCATTTGCATAGTGAGGAGGCTTGCTCAGATCAAAATGGTGGAAACCTCAGAAACAATGTTGATCTTTGGGAATTATTTCTGAAGATATGCAAAGTATAATATAAATTTCCAATAGATATATCAAAACTACATACTTTGAATAATACTTCTGTAAATTTTCAATTGCAAAATTGTAAATCTATACAGAGTATCTGAATTTTTCATTTGCATAGTGAGGAGGCTTGCTCAGATCAAAATGGAGGAAACCTCAGAAACAATGTTGATATTTGGGAATTATTTCTGAATATATGCAAAGTATAATATAAATTTCCAAAAGATATATCAAAACTACATACTTTGAATAATACTCCTGTAAATTTGCAATTGCAAAATGTAAATCTATACAGAGTATCTGAATTTTTCATTTGCATAGTGAGGAGGCTTGCTCAGATCAAAATGGAGGAAACCTCAGAAACAATGGTGATCTTTGGGAATTATTTCTGAATATATGCAAAGTATAATATAAATTTCCAATAGATACATCAAAACTACATACTTTGAATAATACTTCTGTAAATTTTCAATTGCAAAATTGTAAATCTATACAGAGTATCTGAATTTTTTATTTGCATAGTGGGGAGGCTTGCTCAGATCAAAATGGAGTAAAACTGAGTAACAATGTTGATCTTTGGGAATTATTTCTGAATATATGCAAAGTATAATATAAATTTCCAATAGATACATCAAAACTACATACTTTGAATAATACTTCTGTAAATTTTCAATTGCAAAATTGTAAATCTATACAGAGTATCTGAATTTTTCATTTGCATAGTGAGGAGGCTTGCTCAGATCAAAATGGAGGAAACCTCAGAAACAATGTTGATATTTGGGAATTATTTCTGAATATCTGCAAAGTATAATATAAATTTCCAAAAGATATATCAAAACTACATACTTTGAATAATACTTCTGTAAATTTTCAATTGCAAAATTGTAAATCTATACAGAGTATCTGAATTTTTTATTTGCATAGTGGGGAGGCTTGCTCAGATCAAAATGGAGTAAAACTGAGTAACAATGTTGATCTTTGGGAATTATTTCTGAATATATGCAAAGTATAATATAAATTTCCAATAGATACATCAAAACTACATACTTTGAATAATACTTCTGTAAATTTTCAATTGCAAAAATGTAAATCTATACAGAGTATCTGAATTTTCCATTTGCATAGTGAGGAGGCTTGCTCAGATCAAAATGGAGGAAACCTCAGAAACAATGTTGATCTTTGGGAATTATTTCTGAATATATGCAAAGTATAATATAAATTTCCAAAAGATATATCAAAACTACATACTTTGAATAATACTTCTGTAAATTTTCAATTGCAAAATTGTAAATCTATACAGAGTATCTGAATTTTTTATTTGCATAGTGGGGAGGCTTGCTCAGATCAAAATGGAGTAAAACTGAGTAACAATGTTGATCTTTGGGAATTATTTCTGAATATATGCAAAGTATAATATAAATTTCCAATAGATACATCAAAACTACATACTTTGAATAATACTTCTGTAAATTTTCAATTGCAAAAATGTAAATCTATACAGAGTATCTCAATTTTTCATTTGCATAGTGAGGAGGCTTGCTCAGATCAAAATGGTGGCAACCTCAGAAACAATGTTGATCTTTGGGAATTATTTCTGAAGATATGCAAAGTATAATATAAATTTCCAATAGATACATCAAAACTACATACTTTGAATAATACTTCTGAAAATTTTCAATTGCAAAATTGTAAATCTATACAGAGTATCTGAATTTTTCATTTGCATAGTGAGGAGGCTTGCTCAGATCAAAATGGTGGAAACCTCAGAAACA